CAAGTAACAAATCTATAAAAGCCAGTATACAATTCAAGAAGATGAGGGAAGCAGTGTCAATCATCCCACCAGCTGGTTCCAGCAATGCGAGCCCCCATCAGGCCCCCAGGCCATCTGGCATAGCCATGTTTTTACACCTTTTTGGAAGGCCAGGAGAGCAGGGGCAGCCCGCACCTCAGGTGGCACACTGTTCCATGCTGCAGAAAAAGGTACCAGCTTCAAGCATAATCTTTTTCGGCTTTATTTGGAATTGTCCTGTTTCCCTGGAAAAAAATGCAGTGATGGGTCTGAGTTAAGAGATACCATTCTAGAGGGCTGGAGAGAATGGTCGGATGCAACCTTAGCAGCTTACGTTGACACAAATGAGTGTTTTTTTAATTGATATTGCCCATTATAGCAGCCATTTTTATGAATGCCATAATATGTTTTCAGATTTCTTGTTGCTCATCAGCCCCAAAAGATGGGGGAATCCTGCTGTAAATGTCCACTTTTAAGGCTGTTTTCCATTGTCTTATGCTCTATGGTAAACGAGCAGCATATTGAATTAATGTAGTCTGAAATAAATTGTCAGACTTCTCTACTGATCTTCATTCCTTCTTCTGTAGTTCAAAGTTTTGTGCTTCCAGTAGAATAAATACAATTTGCAATATCTGATTCTCTTTGATTTTCCACCATTAAATGTAATGATGTATTAATAGTTATTATGTTGTGGAACGTATTCCTATTTTGGTGATTTTACTTTGAATTCTATGGTGTGAAAGAAGTAAATGTTTTTTCTAAACAATCTGTTGTAAACTGCCAATAGAAAGTTTCAAATTCTAATTTATATTCACAGGACTTGAAAAGCTGAGTCAAACCTCAAGCCTGTTTTGTTATAAGGATTCCTGATGTCTTTAGAAACTGCCACAAAGACAGTAAGTAGGATCGTTCCGTTTCTAAATATTTAGGGGGCACGGATTTGCCATTTGTTTATGCAAGTTGTCAAAATGCTTTTTTATCTAGACAAGTCTATTAGCATAAGTGTTAGTTATAGTTATAGACTGTAGGATGATTAATACCAAAAACTTAAGTATGTTTACACAGGTCAGGCCCTCTGCGTTCACTAAAATGTTTTCTCAGAAAATTGGATCTGAGATTATTCTGTTATACTTAATAAATAATAATATAAACAATATAATAATAAATAATGAAGTAGCACTAGTATTGGTATGTTGCACGCAGTGGGGCAAATAATACAGTGAAGGCAGGAGTGTTACTTTGGGGCCTGCAGGGACAGAAGCCGTTGGCCAGAACTTTAATCTTTTTAAAGGCTTATGGCTATGGTTTGCCTAAAAGAACCTAGGCGTTTACCTAGGGTGGAACAGGAACTGGAAGCAAGTTGTTGGGAATGCAGCAGCCAGCCTTAGTCCATATGGACTAGGCTGACCGCTAGATGGTGGCAAAGAAGTGCAGAAAACACTGACTCTTTGCTGCCATCTAGCTGCTGTCTGGATTTTTTTGCCCTCTAGATTTTTTAGTCTTAGTACTGATACAACCTGCTGAGTGGGTGCCCCAAACCAGCTCTGTTGCTGTTCTTCCCAGAAAACATGATGAGTGTGCAAGCCCTGGGTACCATAGTAGCTCCTTTAAATATTGAATTGATAACTAAAGGTGGGTTGCAGGCCCTATTTGAGAAATTTGCCCTGAGGCCCAAAGAGCTTTACTTACATCTCCATGGAGTGTATGGATAAAGTATAAGGCATGTTAGTCATATTCAACTCATTAAATACTCCAGAATCCAAGAGTGATCCAGGTCTTGGGAATGAGGCACAAAACAGTGTCTGCATGGTTAAGGCAAAGCCGATGTACGTATGTTACGATTTAAGCTAGCTGCTCACAGACTGCATTCTAGGGAACTCTTAGTTTCTTGAAAATTTGCCAGGAGTTCCTAAATGAAGAAATCAGTACTGGAACACAGACTAAAATACATTTCCCCACCCCCTATCTTTTGCAATCTTAAACAGTAAAGAAATATTGAGAATAAAGTATTATAATTATTCATATATTTTGATACATTTGTGTCCAGGAGCTAATTGGGAATGAGGAAACATCTGAGAGCAGACCTAAGAATTGTATACATTGTGTTAGGGTTATTTTCCAGTTTCTTGGAAAACAGATCAATATGAAGAGTATTCTTGATAAAAGAAACTAGTGAAATCGAATTGATGAAAGTCAATTAAATGATTTAGTAACAACATAATTTGGAAGACTGGGCTGATTGTTTTTGGAAGACAGTATTGAGATTTTTTTTTTAAACTCTTGTAGGTCCAAGATAAATATGGGATGTTGTCTTCTGCTTTTAGGTGAGAAGATGAGCAGCTACGATTCAGAAAAACTGAAGTTTGAAAAGATTTCTGACAAAACTAGAGAGAGAGAAATTGCATTGATTAAGAGGAAAAGACATGAAGGTATGATAGAGTCAAACAGATGAACAATTGCTTGGAGTAACCAGGTTGGGAGAGGTAATGCCTGAGTTTGAAAAGCTTTTGGATATTGTTAGATAGTGATATTAATACTGAAAACTTCTTTAACGTGCCTGTTACCGGCAGTGACTGAAATCGGACAAAGTGTTTTCTGGTCAAGCTGTGACAAAATCTGTTTTTTTGGTCGGAAGTGGCACAATATTTTGAAGCTTATTTCAAGGTTACTTTAAAACAGTGCTGCCTCTACCCTGACAATTTCATATTCTTATATTGAAATTGTTTCCTGTTCTTTTCCTAGTAGCCTAGTGTCTTGGATTGTCATATTCTATTGTATACTTGGAATTAGTGGATTGTGGTCAATTAGAATTTAATAATTATATGAAGAAATATTATAGGGAACAGCTGTTTCTGTTTAGATAAATCAGCGAAATTTCTCTTGAGCACTTCAGGTACAAAATGATTCAGGCTCATCTTTTGTTTGCTTGCCATATCTCCTTTTCCTTCAACTGCATTTCTCTAAGCCCCCTGCCCCAGCATTTCTCTTAGCTTTGTATTTGCCTTTCCTAGGGCTAGTTTAAAGAAATTGTAGCTCATATAGCTGCGTTGGGGCCCCCAAAAGTGGGGGCCTTGAAAGCAGGGACTCTCCCCAGCCTCTGGCCAGTGGAACAGTCTGCAGCCAGTGCCCTGGGCCTACCTCTCTTACTCCATTCCTGGCTCAGTTCGGAACTGTGCCTGTGTCCGCCTCTTTCTCTGCTCAAGAGGAACCCAGATATTTATCTTTAAATCCTGTTAAAGGGGGTGATTCACACATAGGTGTAGCTAACTTTGTTTTATTTATTTATCACATTTATATGCTGACCAATCTTCACAACAACTTACAAAATACAATAAAAGCATCCAGAATATAATAAATTAACAACAACAAAAAAGAATACAGTAATGATAATACCTAATCATAGAAAATAAACATCCAAGCAGTAATCACCACAATCATTCCCCAAAGGTTGCTGGAAAAGCCTGGTCTTTAAAAGCTTCTCTAATGCCATCAGTGAGGGGGCTAGGTTAGTTTCTAGAGGGAGGCTGTCACATAATGTAGGCAGTTCTCTGTAACCTCAGCCCCCTTGCGTCATGAAGGTGGAGTATCACAAGTAATTTATTCTGGGAGGACTTCTTTGAATGGGTTGAATCTGGCACGTGATCTTGTAAATATCTGGATGCCAAGCTGTGTAAGGTTTTGTTCCTCAAAACTAATACTTTGAATTGAATTAGAAACCTAGTAGCAACAGTGCAAGGCTCTCAAGGTCGATGTTGAACCAGCTGTTTTTCCCAAGTGGTCTTCAAAGGCAGCAGTCTGACTGGTGATGAAGGTATGAGTCCCTGAGGCAAGGTCCTCTTGATCTAGAAAGGGCCACTACTGGTGCCCCAGAAAAGCTAGGCAAAGGCCTTTCAGGCCATGGTCTCCACCTGCCCATCTAGCTGGGATTCCAGCAGGATCCCAAAGTTGCAGGCATCTTCCCCCAACAGGAGACAACATTGGAACTGGTAGAGAACAGTAATGAACAAACAGCACTTCAATCTTGCTTGGATTGGGTTTTAGCCTGTTTAGCCAGACTTCAGCAACCTCGGGACCAGAACAGGCATGGAAGTTGAAATAACTGAAATCTCTATAAAGCCTGGGGATTTACCAATTTGACAACTAGATTAAGCAGTCTGGAGAAGGATCAAACTGGGCTGCAGGTTGGCTGGTACTCCAGAATACTCAACTCATCCTAACAGCCATGTTAACCTGCAGGCACTTATACCTTGCCACAAAAGCAATATCCTGGTTGTAAAGGTAGTCCTTGCTTAACGGCTGCACTGTTTAGTGACTGTTCAAAGTTACAACCACATTGAAAAAGTAACTTTACAACTGGTCTTCGCACTTATGACCATCACAGTGTCCCCACAGTCATGTGATCAAGATTTGGGCATTTTGCAGCCGGCAGGCATTTACAACTGTCACAGCATCCCTCGGCCACGTGATTGACATTTGTGTGCTTCACAGCCGGCTTCTGACAAGCAGATCATTGGAGAAGCTGGCAGTAAAATTACAAGTCGCAATCACGTGATGTCTTACTTAACGACTGTGGGTGACTTGCTTAATGACTATGGCAGAAGTGATGTCATATCACAGTCATGTGATATCTTGCTTAATGACTGCATTGCTTAGTGACAGAGTTTCTGTTCCCAATTGTGGTCGTTAAGTGAAGGCAACCTGTATATGAGCTGTCTCATAAGATCAACGCCATTCCTCCCCTGGCGCCCAGCCAGACTGATTTCCAAAAAGGCGGTATTACTGCTTTCACCTAGCCAGGTCTCAGTAGTAAATGCCAGGCCCACCTGTTTATCTAGAACTTTTGGTTTATCCTCATGACCCAATGGACATGATTTTGTCAAGATTATAACTCAGTAACTGCTTCTTTGAGTTCTAAAAACACAGTTGCATCATTAGTGCTGGTATCTAAGCACTATGTCTTCTGTAAGCCTCTTTTTGATTGCTTTCAATGTTTCCAGGCATCACGGTCTTCTTCACTGACTTCTGTTTTTGCATTATGTGTCCAAAATATCTACATTTCAGCATCATTATTAATACTTCCAGTATGCAATGCGATTTTTATCTCATTATTACTGAATGATTGGACCTTCCTGTGAACTTCGTATTCCTTCTCCAAGTTTATTGAGGAATATTATTTACTGAATAAGAAAACTTGAGGTTAGTATGAGGGTTCTTTGCTTTCAAAGGACTGGACGCATCATAGTGTAGCAAATCTGTACAAAATGCTTTTATTACAGCACACACCTTCCCCAACAACAGACTATTGCTCTCTACTCATCTAGGACTTGCAAGGTGATGTTAAATAAATATAAATAAATACAGATAAATATGTTTTTAATACTCAGTCCTTTAATACTTCAATAGTTCAAGCAAAAGTCTGTAAGTCTGTAAGGTGGCATTCAGGCTTTGCCTTTTTCAAGATGAGGTGCTGCTTCAGTGTGGTTCTTTTAGTTGCTACTGAGCTCCCAGCAAAGCTCCACGCTGGACTCCCACCAGGATATGCTGCTCACCATAACTTGTGGTTGAATGATAGTCCTCTTGCCTGCTTGTAATAGCTACCAGTCTTCAGACATCGCCTCCGTTTCCCCATCTGTATGCCATTTGCTTATCACCTTTCCTTCCACACGTACACACACCTCCCCACTCTGTCTTAGCATTTGTTTTTTTAAGCTAAGAGCCTGGGTGGGGTGAGGCTGCCTCTGGACGTTGGCACGTCCTTAAAAACACCAGGGTGTGGCTCAATTATTACAGGCAGCTGGAACGTCAGCTTGGATGCTTGTGAGTAAAGTTTGAATTAGGGAAATGGGGTGAGAAGCATTTCTGCCTGGCTGCAGCCACTACTTCCCAAGCACAGATAGCAATCGCAGCCTCACAGTTAGTTAACCTAAAATACTTGTAAATGTGCTTCTAAGAACTTAAAAGCTTCTGGGTGCCTGTTTCAACTGTCGGTTTTGACAACTTTTGGAGAATTGTATTCTAGGTTTTCTCTTCTGTCAATATGTGGCTGCTTCTTAAAAGCAGAGAATTACAAGTAATTCTGCAATTTTTCACTGTCTTTTTAAAAAAGAAATTCATACGTACATATCATCAGTTGATGCTACCTAGATGAACAGCGCTGAGTGAGTCCTCTTTATTGAGCAATAGACAGTAAAATGTCTATTCTAATTAAAAATTAATTAGCGTGTTGTTATTCACAAGTGCTGGGTGTCAAGGGACATAGAAATGATTCTTAAAACAAGTCAGAATCATTACCCTTAACAATATCAATCTCATTAAGCTAATTTTTCATTTTAAAAATAATGTCCCAAGTTGTAGATTATATTGTCTGAAATGGTCTTATTTCATTACTTCATATGATTATATCAGCTTGAATCCTAACTTTTTGTCCTGTGAGTAGTTGTGCTTTCGAAGGACTCCTTGAATGGCCCTTTGCCTTCTGTGAATGCTTTCAAGAACAGATGCTTTTCCTATTCACTTGTGTCAGTGCCCAGATGGGAGAAACAAGATCAGACTTAAGTAAGACAGGGTGGCTGTTAATTCAGAAGCCTAACAATTTTGGGATGATACCAACTTTGGCTCTTGATAGGGTAGTGGTCCCCCTAAAAGAGTGAGCCTGCAATCGGGGGATCCCCCTGCTCCCACCAGAAGAACTGGAGGAGGCTGTGGTCAGGACAGTCCCGGATCCTGCTGTTGCACAACTTGCAGCCATTCCTAGAAAGAGAGGTGCTGAGAACAGACACACATTCCCTTGTCATGTTCATTTGGATTTCTGTAACTTGCTGTACATGGGGCTACCCTTGAAGACTACCCAGAAATTGCAAAATGCAGCTGCCTTTGTACTTACTAGTGAATCTTGCTCTTGCGTGGAGAACTGCACTGGCTACTGGTTTGTTTCTGAGGACAATTCAGGGTGCTAGCTATGGCCTATAAAACCCTAAATGACTTGAGGCCTGGATATCTTTGGGGCTGCCCAGTATGGGTAAACACAGAATACCTGTTGCAGATCCATGCCTATGAAGAGGTATGGTGAAAGGGGCGCAGTGGCACCACTTGCCTCCCTGAGGTGAGAGTGGACCCTAGTGTAATGGGCCTCTAGAGATTTATTAAGATGGAGTTTTTGTGAAAGGTCTTTTGAGATGGGTCTAATCTGGGTGAGAAACAGTCCTGGGAAATGGGTTTGAAGTTATTTTTTTTGTGTACTGAGTCATATGCTTTATTGTATTCATCTGTAATGTATTAACTGTACACTGCTGAGAATCTAACACGCTGAAGCTGTATAGAAATGCAGTAGATAAACAAAGTAAGATTTGCTCCTGAAAAAATGCAGATGAAGAATCACAGTAGTAGGGAACAAATATCCCATAGTAGTAGGGAAGACCTGGCTATGTGC